TTAATAAGTATTTTATTTACTCTATGATCTAAATAATAATTTACTTCGTAATAACTAAATCACACTTTTTTTCGACTGTTAACCAACAATACTCTTTAGTGTTGGTACATGCTTTAAATATTCGACATTATAAAGCTGTCATTTAATAAAAAAAAAGAACTGTCATGTAAGGGAAAAATTGTGTAATATTGATAAATTTCACATACTATTAGAATTAAAATAAGATTGTTGAATTTTGAAACTGACACTGGCGATGATCTCCATATTTTTTATATTATTCATAAAAAACTGTCGCTGGCAAAAAGGGTGTGCATTGATTTAAATTTCATGATCAAGACATTAATCCACATCAAGAAAAATGAACTGATATTAGAATTATTATTTATTACGAATGCAGTCATTTCAGTCATTTTTTATTAAAGAAAAATCGCATGCAAATATGGCACAATCGACCCCTCCTACATAAAGTATCGTATATTAATATTGCCAAGTTTACAGGGGAGCGTTTTAAAGTTCTCTGTTTTATTCGGCAAAGCACATAGAGTGATCATCTAATAAATCATCATAGATCATCTAACCGATATCTAGGATTTTCTAATACTCTATGTGAGTAACGAGTGTTGCCGAATAAAACAGAAATGCTAAGTCACATGTTGTGCTTATTTCAGTGAATTCGGAACTTTAAAAGGCTCCCCTGTAAACTTAACAATGTCGACATACGATACTTGACCTAGGAGGGGTCGATATTTGTAGTTGAGTGTTGTTTATGCAGAGAAAATTTCCACATGAAAATCATTTCAACATTTGAATAACTTACTTTAAATACAAGAGGCAGGTTTTTTAATTTCTTTTGAATGAGAAGAGCAAATCAGATTTTTTTTAAATTACTAAATTTTCTATACTGATCAAAATCCTTATTGCAAGTTATATATATTAGTCTGAAAATTCAAGTTGATCACTTATTCTTTGTACTGGATCAATTTGTTTTGAACTAATATTGTTTAGACAATCATAGATGCATCTTAGGTTTTCTGAATATCTTTCTAACAATATGTTTTCTACTTTTTAACACTGTTTTTGCCTTGTCAATAGTAAAATTCATTCTTCCATTTGGGATGTAGAACTAAACAGAGAACGAGTAGCTGTTGAAGAAACTTCTCGAGAAGAAAGTATTTCAGCTGTCGTCCTAGCACTTGGCGTTCCCTTATTCTGGAATTTGTACTCTTGTCAACCATTTTTACTTCACACTGTTTTGCAGCGTGTATCTAAAAACTCGATTGGATATTTCTTAATATACTGATATTGCGCAGCTTGACCGAGCGTTTGAGTTTTTGCTCATATTTCATAATTTTCACTTCGGTCGGCTACAAAACTAATAGAATATTATTACCTCGGAAATTTCACAGTAGTACTAAAAGTGAATAGCAAGGCAAAGTATTGTTTTATACAGGTTTATCAACTTACTTCAAAGTGATCTTCACAACAATAAATAGTGTAAACTTTGAAGTAAGTATCTCACTTCACGACACCACTTAATATGAACAAAGCACTTTCTGTATTCCATAGCCGT